AAAAAAAGAGACTTTTCCATTTGATTACATTTTGTATGATGGATTATGCAGAAAAAGTAGAATTGGGCTGAAAGATCTATCGCTTTATCACTTCTTCAGGTTGTAAATCTTGTTTTTAAAAAGTAACTAAGTAATTCATTACTTTTGAAAATAAGTAATCAGTAAAGTAACGGGATTAGTTTTTTGTGGAAGTAATCAGTAATTAGTTACTGATTACTTTTTTCAAGTAACTTGACCAACACTGGTCAGGAGTTTGGCTAGCAAACCAACATGAGTAATGTAAATTTGGCTAACAGCAAACCTAGCTTGATAATAAAGACTTTATATTGTATAAATTAATAAAGAAAATACTTGAATTGGTTACCATTTCAAGAGGTTTAGGTTATTGTAAGCCTTTTGGTTGTCAAACATTTGCAGAATTGGGGAAATTTCCTGGTTTCCCGAGCAGGAAGTACCTCACACACACTCGCCCTGCTAACTTTCCAATTACGGTCAGTTTGCACCTTCTGTACCAGCCGAGGATGTGATTGTCTTTTCATTTGGCTTCTTTTACTCTTGTCTTAATGGTATATAAAGTGTACACTAGTTTGCATAAAAACAAAGCTTTCACACAGAAACATCCAAAAGTTCAAAGTTTTTTTTATCATTGCAGTGCATTCCAGCTTTGGCAAACACCTGTGTTATCTCTCTGCTAGACGCTCATAAACATGCTAACGCACAATGAAAGCGAGAGAGAGAGAGAGGAGAGCGAAGGGGCCAAAGTAGCAAAGACAGACAACGAAAGATTCACATCCAGCAGGCTAGATGTCATATGGCAAAGCTCAATATTGGTTAATAAATGAAGGGGGACAGGATACAGAGACAAGGAGGAGAAGTAAAAGTAATAAATTACTTTTATCTCCTTAATGAGACAACATTAATTTTGGTCTCAAGGTCTGGCAGAAAAGTGAGTTGATTTATCATCTGTCTTTAACGCTGTGGGAATTAGTCTAATTACCAGAGCTATGGAGAGCTGATTTTCACTTCACAGTAAGCCCATTGTGCACCACAACCATTTATCACAGCAGCAGTCTGGTCGTTGTACTCCAGGCCTGGTGGGAAAGGTGGTGTTGGTCAACAGCGTCCCTGAAACCTTTGTGTGTCACAACATGCCTGAAGAGAGGGCAGATCCAGGAATGTGCACACACAATCAAAGTAAACTGGATTAGGATCAATCACAGTGCCTAGGTATAGAATCAATGACAGCGAATCAAAGAAAATATATCTTTCAATGTCCGTTACATTGCTTTGTTGATGTTTTTCCATGTTCTGTGTTGTTCTGACGAACTATAGAAGCGCCTGAACTTTCTCCGTTCTGCTCTATCAGCAGCAGGAAAGATCTTATCAATACCTCAAACCGCCAAGAATCACTGACCCAGTGGAGGTGAAAAACATAATGACTGGTCCAGCATGCAGATAGAACAAGAGCACACCTGACTTAGTTTAAGGACAGGGTGAGCTGTCTCAGAGCTGTGGTAATGATTGAAAAATATGCCTGTAATTGCTGATAAGCTCTTTAATGTTTCAGTAAACTCCTGTTAGCCGCTAGGTTTACTGACGCATAACTCGTCGATAAACTCTGGCTTTGTAGTCAAGGGCTCGCGGCTCCTTTGAACCAATTGTCCTCTCACAGAGAGAAGGGTGTGCACTGCTTTTGGAGAGTTCCACTAAAGGTTCAAGGGGGCATGTGCATGTGAGGACATGTGTCACAAGGAAAGAAGGGAAAGGAAGTAATGATAGTTTAGATCTGAAAACATTTATTATTCAGCCTTCCACCACATTAAAATAAGACACTTTCAGCTACACCTGCTGTCAGATATTTCACCTGCAAACTGCAGCCTGGAGTAATGTTTGCTCTTACTGACTCATTTTTAACAACAGTGTAATTAAGCTATCATGCTATTCCCATTGTCCTGCATTTTACCTAGTTTTGACCTCTGAGAGGTTTGCCCATAACTAATCACAAGACAGATCGCATTACTATATCTGCTGTTTATAGTTTCAAAGTAAACAAAGAAGAAGAAGCCATCAGCTTTACAAGAAGCCATGTGACTATATTCAGCACTGTAAGCTAGATGGTAAAATCTGCAACCAAGAATTTGTGCTTGAAATCAGTGCTCGAAATTGCAAGAAACCCAAGAGCTACATTTCAAACTCTACAAACCTCAGTTAGCAAAGTTGCACATGAACAAACCACATGACTTCTGGAACAATGTCCTTTGGACAGACAAGAACAAAATGAAGATGTTAGGCTATTATTCAAAGTAGTATATTTGGTGAACACAAATTACCTCATACAACCGTCTAACACGGAGGTGGAGGGATGACGATTGGGGCTTATTTTGAAGCCATGAGCCACAGCAGCAAATCTACAACAGATTGCCCAAAAAAGAAAAGAATCAAAGTTTTGTAATGGCCTGGTCAAAGTCCGGGCCAAAGACCTCGACCTCATTGAAACCCTGTGGCGGGATCTTAAGAGGGCTGCGTATGAACAAATGCCTGGAAACCTCAATGAATCACTAGAGTTTCTTTTGATTTATTCTACTATTAAATTCATGAGCATCTTGCAAAAATAAAAAATAAAAATCATAGCATTCTCTCCAACAACATTCAAATTTATATCATCAAACAGGCACTTAAGAAATTGCTGAGCTAACCTCAACAGCTTCTTCTTCTAAACTATTAAAGCTCTTTAGACCCCATCTCAATTACACCAGCTCCACCTGTTCTGTCTGTAGACATTTATATTAATCAGTCTTCTCTTCATTAATAAGATTTGTATTATAAGTTCTTAAAGCTTCTGATCCAGCTGTTATATTCAATTATTAACTTATTTAGGATTAGCAGGACTTATGTACATATAGCAGCAAAATTTCATCTTTTAGGAGGAAAAGACCATCCATCGTCAGAAGAATGCACCAGACACTGGAAGCAGGCGCTGATTTAATTTAATTCGTGGACCTCTGTTGGCAGACTCAAGTGACAGGTTTAGCGGTGGCCTGGCTATTTAAATACTTTCAAATAATAAAGGCAAAAGAAAAGAGGGGAGAGGTTGCGAGAAACAGGCAGAAGGTAGCACTGATTACCCAGGAGCAAATTACCTCTATATCAGCCCCGGAGACAGACACCAATCTGCCTGATAGAGAGAGAGAGAGCTGAGGATGAGAGACACCGCAGTAACACGGTAAAGGAGAAAGAGAGAGTGAGAAATGGGCGGACTAGCAATTTCCTGGAGGTCAACTGCACCGCACATACACACGTGTGCGCACAATTTTACAGATTTAAGAAGGGGGTGTCCTCAAACAGGTGGCGTTTTTGTTCACATCAGCAGAACGAAGCACACAAAGGCCCACGTGTGCTTTTATGTGGAAAATGTAATATTGTGACATGAGGAAAAGATGACTATTTGTTAGTGAAGGTGTTAGAGCCTAAAACATATTCTTGGGAACACATAAAACAAATAAATATAAATATTAGATTGTTAGTATTACACAAGCCACAACTGCACAGGAAAAAATCACATTATTTATAGTTATTGTTGGGTTGGATAGAGATCTGTAATGTCGCATTATCAAAAGATGGAGTTTTCCTTCTGGTGCAGCAACATGCAGATTCCACTTATTATTCTGTGACTTATAATTTTTGATAAACTGTATCTCTATCGATGTTGTGGTACCATGTCTGAGAGACGAAGAGAGACGGATGTACGCCGCCTTTCTCCAGTCTTAAAACTGCATTAGTTCACATTAAGCAGAGGGCCAATTAACTTATAGCCTCTTCTGCCAAGTCATTACACTTTTATACGGTTTGTGTGCAATTCCTGATCGTAAACTTTAATAGCATCGGTATGGCCTTGGTATAGGAATGAAACAAACCATTAATACTAATGATTTAAATACCGTACACAACGTCTCTAACGTCACACCAATCAGAGGTAACCAATAACATTAGTGTTGAAAACAGGCCAGTATTTGGCTCTAAGGTGTGGAGGATATTAGCAGCACTAATAATTAGTCTGGACAATGAAAGCAGCGTATAATTCTTTGTTTATGGCAGCCAGGTAGCCGCAATCTGTGGAGAGTACGATGAGCTGGCAGTAAGATAGATACTGAAAATACAATTGCCCAATCTTCTAATGTACTTCGGTGCTTTGATGCAGTTGAAGGTGTTTGCAGGCGGGACAAGGGTTGGACATTACCTCACTCTGAATGCTTTCTGGGGGGAGAAACGAGCGAGTAATTAGCTGATTAGAGGCCCGTCAGAGCAGCTCGAGCTCCAGCCAATCCCCAGCTGGCAGAGGCCTCCAGGGGTGGAGAAGGACGGCGGATGTAGAGGGAAACATACCTCTGTGGGTTAGTTTTCCAAGAGACTCGATGGTGCGGACTGACATAAAGGCGCAATTTAAAGAAACCGGTGCACGCGCGCACACGCGGGTGTCAGTTAGAGTGGCATTTAGCTGAAACAAGTACAACGAGGGAAAAACCTGCCAATGTGTTGTTTTAACGAATATACAGGTTTCGGGTTATTTTTCTTTATAAAAGGGGGAAAGGAGAGCTTATGATTTTGTGACTGAAGAGCACGGCACAGGTGCGCACCTGGAGAGAGCTCGACTTGTTTTTTCTAAAGACTCCTCAGTCCCGCTCTCTCTCGCTCTCTCTCTGCTGCTGCTGAAGACATCATGGAGAAATCGAAAAACTTTCGAATCGACGCTCTTCTCGCCGATGAGACCAATCGGTGTGGTCGAGACCTCTCACCCGGTCTGAGCAGTGACAGCCCGGCCGGCAGCCCGGTCTCATGCCGCCGTGGGGACACTCCGTCCCCGCGAGGAGCGCACCTTCAGACCGGAATAATCCCCAAGCAGAGTGTCCTCAATCTGCCCCATCCGGGGCTTGCATCGCTGCCTCAGGGAGCGATTCCCGCCATGTATCCTGCACCCATGTACCCACTGTCGGCGTTGGGTGGACAACACCCTGCGTTCGCCTACACTGGCTTCACGCACCTATCGCAGACCTACCCAGAGCACCTGAAGGTGGCTACCATGGCTGGATCTCTGCCCCTGGAGCACTGGATCCGCGCTGGGCTCATGGTGCCACGACTGCCGGATTACAGCTGTAAGTGTGATGACATTAGATAAGCAGAGGTCCAGAATAATCTAACTTTAAAATAAATAAATATATAAATAAAAATAAATTAATTTCACAGGAGAATTTATCTGTTAATTTATTTTATTTTCAGACAGCTGTGTTACACTAAAAGAGAAAGAGTTTAGGCGGAACTGGTCAAGTTAATCTTCTTCTTCTTCTTCTTCTTCTTATTATTATTATTATTATTATTATTATTATTATTATTATTATTATTATTATTATTATTATTATTAATTAATAACTAAATAGTTGTCATTTCGGGGTTTTTATGTTTGCTTATTTTTTCATGATATCAAGCACACAGCACAGATTTATTGTTTAAATCACAAACCGGACTAACGATTCTGACATAGATTTTTTTCTATTCTCCAAAGTTTTATTACATTTAAAAACCTTAATATTTAATAATAATCTGAGAAAGAAACGGGCAGCATTTTGATTTGTTTATTTATTATTCATAAATACATTTCACTGGCAGCGTAATTTAAAGCCTTCGGTCAGCTTTGCTTTGTGCGCCTTCTGTTGTTTTTGTTGTTGTTGTTGTTGTTGTTGTTTTTTATCTAAGTCCTGTATGTCGCGTTAATGGCAGTCATACATCGTCCCTCACAGTACAGTGGCACCTGTTTTACTGCGTCTCTGTCATATTTTAATTTTGCCCCATTTATTTCTCTATAAACGCCAGCCCGATGAAAACTGTCTTTGTGTGATGAAGAAACTATAAACAAACACCTAAAACGTTCTGTAGTTCATCAATAAAATCCCAAAAGCCTTCATTGAATTTTCATTAAGTTAATGGCATGCCTGTGTTTTTATGGCCCCTGCGCCCGCTTCTGCCGTGTCCCCCCCCGTCAACAATAAACTGGAGTAAAGCTATTATAGTTAATGATGGCCGGAGAGTGCCGGCATATGTGCGTCTGTTCCCACCCACAACATTACCATGAACTTCTGATGTCCTTGATGTTACAGTATATAAATAAGAGTGGTGGCAGCCAGTGAGCAAATATTCCTGGATAGAGCCTTAAATGAATCCAAATAATTAGGAAATAACTTTATAATATTAATATTAATATTCACATATTCATCCTGTTTTTAGGTTATTTAGGTTTTTAAAATATACACTTATAGTCATCTTGCATGGGACCGCACACAAACTGATAACTTTGCTGTTCCTCTTCCAGCGGGTGCTCAGTCAGGCCTGTTGGGGAAATGCAGGAGGCCCCGCACCGCCTTCACCAGCCAGCAGCTCCTGGAGCTGGAGAACCAGTTCAAGCTTAACAAATACCTGTCCAGGCCCAAGCGCTTCGAGGTGGCCACTTCACTCATGCTGACCGAAACACAGGTGAGCCAGACCAGAGACTGCAGAGCTCCTCTTTACATCTCCAGATCACGGCGCTCAACAGATGCCAGCACACTGTATGTGTGTAGTTACAGTTATAACATTTATATCTATTTTTTATTTTCTTAATAAGAATAACTCGGTAGAGTTAAAGGAGTGTGAAACCCATCACCTAATAACACTAAATGAGCCACAATATCAAAATAGGGAGAAAATAAAAAGAAAACAACCAATCAACAGATTTCATCTTCCTTTTTCTTTTTTTATTGTAGCCTTAAATAAGACCAAACCATTTTTATACCATGAAAACAGCCAGCAGCACTCTATTAGCTTTAAATGTTACACTTTACTAAAGTATCTTCATTCTTGTTGCAGTTAGCTGATCAGCAAACTGCTTCTCATGTCCACAGATGTTGTGTTGTCAATCATCTGTGGCAGTTTTCAGTGTTCATTGTTTACCTATCTTCATATATTCATGTGTGTAAGACTCACATGTCTTATGTTTCTGTTAATATTTATTTTTCACTGATTGTTTCAGTGTTATGAATGCTAATACCTCTGGTAGGAGGAGGAGGGATAAAAAATTTGTGATAATAAAGAGTGATGTCGTTAATGATAACCACAGCATGAACCCCAAAATAACACTTTTTATCCTCCCCAACACTGACATGCAATATGAAACATATCACCTTAAAAATGAAGGTAAAATAGAATAAACAATTTATAAAGCAGCTTTTATCTAACAAAGAAAAAAGAAATAGGAAAGAGAGAGCTTCTGGAGCTGTGACTAAATTTGTCTTTGTTTCTGTTCAGACAAACCCCAGGTTGCATTTCTTTCTTTTAAACATGCGTTCTTCTTCTACTATGATCACTTCGCAGGTGAAGATCTGGTTCCAAAATCGGAGGATGAAGTGGAAGCGCAGTCGGAAGGCAAAGGAGCAGGCCACTGCCTCCACCCAGTCTGAGGCAGAGAGACTACGCAGCTCGGGAAAGACAGGCTCCGACAAATCCAGTGAGAGCAGACGAGCTTTGAACCCGGACGACCGAAGGATAGCTCTCGAATTGGAGGATGGAGAAGAGGAAGAAGATGGAGAGGATGAGGAGGAAGAAGTAGCGGAGGCGCCCCAGCGTGGCTTTCCTCTTTCTGCGGGTAACCTAGTTGGGATCCAGCAAACCACGGACTTCTTGCAGCGTAACGATGAAGCTGGCTACAGCTCCCACAGCCCTTTCTCTGATGATGAGCTGGATGGGGTGGAAGTGGGTGGGGGTGACAGGAAAATTGGGGCAGGACTGTGAATACACACCCAGAAAAAGGTTTTAAAAACACATGAGAATTACCTGAGTGTTTCAGCGACATCACAACAGGAAAGTCTGTGTTTGTGAGAGAGGACAAACCTAAAGATCTTCACCTCGTATGCTCTGAGAAGGTTTTTCCAATCAAGACATTTGTTGGACTCATTCACACAATCACACATAAACAAATGCAGGATTATGACGCGCGTATAGTGCTTAAACTATTTGTGAATAGAATTATCACTAAGTAATTTACATTGCTGCAGCATGCTGGAAAAAACTGCTTCTTTCTTTCCCTAATTTTGCTCTTTTTTAATGTGCCAGTGGTCCTCTGTGGCAAACTTGTTTCCTCCATCCACTCACAGCCTGAGCTCCACTCAGTGAACACATTTTTTAGGAATTAAATGTTAAGAGGAGTGAACTGCAACACATTCAAACAGTTTGATGAGGTTCAGGAGGCGCACGAGCCGTGTGACCATTGATAGAACGGACAAAGGCTCAGAAACAGCTGCAGTTCCAGATGTTTTTGCTCCCAGACTTTGCACAACATCCCATGTAGCGCATTTCCATTTGTGCATTTAATGTGAATATTCAGATTTTTTTTTCAATAATATTTATGACTTGGTTGTCGTCACTTACATGTAAATAAATGAACTTAATTTATTTGAATGATTGAAGGATGAATCGTACGTGTATTTATCTCAAACTTGTGTGGTGTAAATGTGAAATAAAGAAAATGGCAACAAAAGAAGTGAATTATTTCCATTTGATGTGATAGAAATGTGTATATATATATATATA